ACCAGAGGTTCCAATGGCTCCTGCCTTGGCTTCAGTTAATTTTCTAGAGCAGCTCACAGAAATCAGAGAAACATTTTACTTACACGATTCCTGGTTTATTTTAAAAAGCTATAAGTCTGAAACAGCCAGATGGAGGAGACGTGTAGAACAAGGTATGTGGGGAGCTTCCATGCTCTGAGTGAGCCACCCTCCTTGAATCTCCATGTGTTCATCAACCTGGAAGCTCTCCAAACCCCATCCTTTTGGGTTTTTATGGAGGCTTCATTCCTTAGGCACAATTGATTAAGTCATTGGCCATTGGTGGTTGATTCAGCCTCCAGCCACTCTCCTTTTCTTTTCCTGGAGGTCAGGGGTGGGACTGAAAGTTCCAACCCTCTAATCGAGGTTGGTTCCCCTGACAACCAGCCCCCATCCTCAGGTGCTTTCCAAAAGCTACCTCATTAACATAAACCCAGTTGTGGTGGAAAGGAGCTTGTTACAAATAACAAGACATCCATTTCCCCTTTAGGCTCTGAAGTGTTTTCAGGAACTGAGAACACAAAACCGAATGTTACAGCCAAAGATGCTCCCATTGCTCGTATCACTGAGGAAATTCAAAGGGTTTTGGGAGCTGTGAGCCAGGAACTATAGATGAAGACCAAACATACATTTCTTACAAATTACAATTTTGCAGGTACATAACTCTTTTTCCCATCCATTTGTTCATCTGTCCTTCTGTTTATTAAGAAAGTAGTGAATGAAAAATATAAAACACTTCAAAGAATAGAGTGGCATTAAGTACCTAATTGAATTCCCTCCCCAGTCTTCACTCTTGGTGCTGTTTCTTTGATGTAATGGCCAGTTTTTAGTTATTTGGGTAGTTAGCACTGATTACACATTACATAGTTCTATCTTGATTTGTCACCTTTACGCTCTACCTCCTGACTGTTCTACACCAGGCAGTGAAGTGTGAGTGGTTAAGAACACAGACCTGAAGTCAGACTGCTGGGTTTCAATCTGTTTTGCTGCTTGTAACCTATGTGACCTTGAGCAAATTATTAAGCCATTCTCTGCCTCAGTTTTCTTGTCTATAAAATGGACATAATAATAGGACTTATCTCATGGGATAATTTGAATGTTGTATTGAAAGATTTATGTAAAGTCCTTCAAAGAGTGTCCAGCACTGGGTGCTTAATAGATACGAGTTGATACAACTGCTCCAGTTAAGGTAATGAAAAGTGAGGTCTTCTGGTAACTCCCACTTTGTCACACATTTCTCCTTCCAAAATTTGTAAAATTATTTTATTTCTGCACTTTAGATACTGTATTTAGGCCTTTCCTTTTCCTAGATAGATAGTACATCTTAACACCTTCCTGTAAGTGAGGAAGAAAAAAAACGCTCCTGCGTTATTTTACATTTGACCTCTGTTAGCTATCATATTTCTTTTGCATCATCAGGTTTTATAATCTTTAGTTTTATTGCTCTAACTGTAATTAAGTCTAATGTGCACTCTATGGATTGATTCTTTTTTATTTTAATAATCTTTTTTTCTTTGTCCATTTGGAGCTTTTTTTGAATTGAAGTACAGTGAGTTACAATGTGTCAATTTCTGTTGTGCAGCATATATACACATACATATGTGTATGTCATACATATACATATGTATTTATATATTATATATATTTCTGTCATCCATATACATATATATATTCCTTTTCATGTTCTTTCTCATAGGTTACTACAAGATATTGAATATAGTTCCCTGTGCTATAAAGTATAAACTTGTTGCTTATCTATTTTATATATAGTAGTTAGTATCTGCAAATCTCAAACTCCCAATTTATCCCTTCCCACCCCCTACCCACCCTGGAACTGTAAATTTGTTTTCTATGTCTGTGAGTCTATTTCTGTTTTGTAAATAAGTTCATTTGTGTCCTTTCTTTTTTAGATTCCACATATAAGTGATATCATATGGTATTTTTCTTTCTCTTTCTGGCTTAGAATGATCTCCAGGTCCATCCATGTTGCTGCAAATGGTGTTATTTTATTCTTTTTTATGGTTGAGTAGTATTCCATTGTGTGTGTGTGTGTGTGTATATCTCACAACTTCTTTATCCAGTCAAATAATTTTTTTAAGAGAAATTTTATGTTTACAACAAAATTGAGAGGAAGTGTTCTGTGTCTGTCTCAGCCTGTCAATAACCAATGTTGTGGCTGGACCAGCCCTTGTGGTTTTTTTGTTTGTTTGGTTGGGAGGTATAATTAAGTTTACTTATTTATTTGTTCTTGGAGGAAGTACTGGGGATTGAACGT